TTATAATTAGCCAAATGTAGTGGGTCAAAATCAAAACGTCGCCTCCGGCTAAAAGGAAACGAGGTCAAGAGAGCTCGTGAGCGATGAAAGGTTCAATCGGCGACTCACTAATCTAGACTACTTATAATACATTTTAAAGAGTTTGATTTGCTCCATTTCAAATTTCCTGCAACGAGAGTGAAAGTAGGAAGGGTATTTTTCGTCTACACAATTAATTTTTTATTTCATTTAAAAAGATATCAATGCTAGGATTTGAACTGTGGTCTCTTCAATCAAAGAGAAGAACTACAACCAATTAGACTAGACACATTTGTTGTACTTAATTAATACAAAACATCGAGGAAGTTAAAATTATGAAAAAACATAGTACTTTTCTATCACGGTTAGTTAGCTTGCTAAGTCTCCTATAAGTATTTTGCGGTGTTTGATAATTCTATTTTCATATTTTAATAATTAATTTAGACTTTTTATAACTTATAAATGAAAGAGATTCTTAAAATCTCAATACAAATATCATTGGTTGGAATGTTGCGCATTGAATTGAAGTGTTCAATGACGACATAAGAACACTGGTACCATACATTTCAAGAAAAATAAACATGACAAACACCGATATCAATTATCTCGACAGTCTATACTAAAATTCAAAATTGTTTAATCATTCAATTTGAGTGACAGTTTAGTCAAATCAAGCAAATAAATCACGATTGTGTATGAATAAAAATAAAAACATGTGTATTGTATTATGAAAAATATATTTATTTTAACAATCTAAAAAAACAATCAAAACTTCCATACGACCCCTTATTTCAATAATGTAATTAATGAAATAATTTTTATCAGCATGATGCAAGGTTCAAGCTAAGAACCAAGTATTAGTCACCAGTATATAGTATTCATCATAGTTAACTATTTCAATATCCACATCTAACTATTAATGGTTACTTGCTTTCTCTTTGAGAGTTTAATGTAACACTCACATCCCTAGCTATGCTCAACACATTTGTTTTCTTTTTCACAATATCAGTTTCAGTTATTTATTAAATCAACTTTGTTTCTAGCTTTCAATTTCTAATTATTCACTGCTTCACACAAACTTATGGGAATGCTAAATATATTTTTCATGTATAATATATTGACCATAAATGTTGCTTATCACTTAAATTCAACTGTATCCATGTTAGATTTGATGTCACCAACATATTCTCCCAATTTCTCCAAAAAGTAGACCTGACAATCGGGTCGGGTTGGGTAATTTCAGGTCGGGAATCTCGGGTTATGGGTCTTCACGGGTCAGGTCATGATGGGTTTGCTGATTTTGGTTCAAATATTGACCCAACCCATCGGGTTTCGGGTCATTTAGGGTCGGTCATGAGCGTTCTCAGAATCAATATCAAACATGCTTCATAAATTTTTTAAAAACACAAATTTTTACATATGTGTGACAATAGTTTGCCTAGCACATGTCAATTAACAAATGCTCAACTCCTTCCATGCTAACGAAAAGAAATACAAATTGCACAAATTGTCAAAAAACAATGACGAAAGTAATACTACTACAATAAATAAATGATGTTTGATTATCTTTACACTCCAAACTTGTCTTTCAAATCCTAATAAATTTTTTTAAACATCTCACCAAAGTATGAGTGATTTTATCATTTTTTAGAGTGACATATTTAATGAAACGGGTCTAGCGGGTCGACCCACAAACCAGCCCAACCCGACCCCAAAAACTACAGGTTAGTCTGATTCGGGTAATTCGGGTTATAAAAACATCAACCTATTCTCTATTTTCGTGCGGGGTCGGGTCAACGGGTCGGGTCCTCATTTGCCAGGTCTACCAAAAAGCATCATATCTTGCGATTGATATCATAGTTTCGTTAGGTAAAGTTCAACAAACTCAATCAATATTCGAACTCTTTGAAGAAGCTATCTAGTTGCATGCGAATATGAAGTACTGAGTAGCTAAAACCCTACTTGAGTTAGTTCAATCTTTTGCACTATCGATTCAAAATTCAATATATGATTATCTTATTACAATTTTTTTTTTATCCAAGATAAGCCCCAAGGCATGGCCGGACAACAAAATACAAAACATATAAAAATAAAGAACGGTAATCCGTATGCAACCGGATTCCCGATGAAAGAGCCTGTTATGCCACTAGGTGGGCAGCTCTGAGAAAGCTCCAAGGAGCGAAAAGACACGAAACTGACACGAGGGGCAGAAAGAGAGAGAAAAGAAACTTCCCTGAAAGTGGCTCATGCACTGGGAAGAGAATGCTTCCTCGATGTAGGATCCATGTTGATCGGTTGAGAAACCCCGCAATATGTAACAATCAATACATTAAGGGTAAGATACAATCACATAGCCTCACTAAAGACAAGCAATTTGATATGATCATCGATAATACCATAATAGAATTATGAAAGTCAAATGGAATAGTTCCATCATCTGAGAAGCCGACTGAGTCAGTTGCCCATCCTTGATGATTCTTTGTAACAAATGAATAAATCATTTAACGAGACTTGCTTTCCATCATAGGTTGAGGAGATGCTCGATCATAACTTCACAATACTAAATTTTCCTGTACAGAAACCAGCTACAAAGGCACCACAAGGTGCTAAAAATCTCTAACTGAAGAGATTAAAATCTGTCAAGAGATATAGTCGGACTTCACCGAAAATTCCACATCAATAATGTGGTTACAAACCGAAGAAAGTGAGTTAATTCTGAAAAGTAAAAATATTGGATAAAATCCAATAAAAAATGGATAAGAAGAAAATGACTAACATAACTGAGCTTTCTCAAATAAATTAAATAAATAATTAATACACCTTAATATTAGTAGCAATTCTCTCCTACGGTATAAAAACAAATTAAATAGAGGAAGGTTAAAGAAAGAAGTCTGGTCCTGGAAGGAAAGTAATTCTAAAAGGCTGATTTAAAGACTATTAACGCAGCTAATAAAGACAATTACAATGGATTGCAATTAAAATTAGGAAATTAATTAAAATATTACCGTTTGTGATACTAACGGTACGAGATTAGACGCCTGTAATTACGCCAAGAAGTACTCCGGATTGGTAATCATCTCCGGACTCCGGTCACGACGATCCCGCCGGCGCTATGCAACTATTGCAGGAACCTTTTGCTGACAGCGGAGGCGACTCTCCGTTTACAGCGGGGAGGATTCTCACCGGATTCTTCCTCTTCGCTCAGTGACAGGGAAAGCGGCGTGGTAGGATGTGAAACTTAGTGAAAAAGATCTCAGGGAACCCAACCTGAACCTTGGAGTATATTGCGGTCCAGTTTTATATAGGGGATGTGGGAAATGTTGGGCCAGTCTTCGCCTTCACCCTTTCGGCATCTTATTGTCAACTCAGGACACCAAGAAATTTCCAAACTGTGTAAAGAGGTGAGGTGTTGTGTTGCTGGAGGCAGATTTGCTAATTGTGCAATAGGGGTCATCTTATCAAAATCGTAAAGAAAGACTCTTTGAATGATTGCTTTCATGATGTAATCAATTATACCAAAATAAAAGTGACCAAATTTATAAGATGGTCTCAAAGTTTGCTATAATTATTGAGGTTCAACAACACGTTAGGCGTACGAAGATCATTGGGCATTTTTCTATCTCCTAGCTCGCCTTGACATGCTTAGACATTATAATAAAAATAGCACTTTTTAATAATAATGAATAAAATAACAGTTATGAAACACTTTCATACTTTAGTTCAAATGATTTAACAACAAACGAAATAACACTCAAGTTTATAAATTATTTCTTTTACCAAATGATATAATTAAATCATTCATGAGCTGAAATAACTAATTATAAGCACTTCAAATTTAAGTTAAAACTCTACATGATACAATTCTTTGACGAAATGGGTTTTATAATAGAGTGGTTATATCGAGAGACGTCTCTAAGAAACATGGCTTACTTTATTATTTCTTAGGTGGATATAATATCTATCTTCATTGTTACTTTTATATTGGATTCAATTTAGTATACTTTTTCGTTTAGATAGATTTTTGTATGATATTCCTGGATATAATATATCATTATATATGATGGTGCATGATATTAATTCCTCTCATTTTAGGTTCAAATTGATGCATTTTCCCCTTTACCGTTCCCTTTTATTGGTTAATAATTTTTATAATATTTTTCACTTTGAATATCGTGAGCAGAAGCTATACACAACAATTTATGTTTTTCGCTTTCTCTTCTCTTGGTTAGATATTGTGTCCATATTCATTCTTATATTGATTATTGAATTAGTACTTTTTTGTTCTTTTTCTGATGCAATATATGATTTTATGTTTGATAATATAGATTTATTTTTTCAAGCATGTGGATGCTTGAGACTTCTCATTTGCCTCATAACTTACATTTTACAATGGCTCCAAACTTGGATGGGTTTCTATTCAACACATAAATTTTTAATGATGTAAAATTTATGAAAGATGCATATTAATAAACAATGTAAGGTCTCATCTTCCCTCTTAAGCACTACATATCATTGTTTACTTGCCATTAAATCAAAGTCTTTCTAACTTGAGTAAGAGCTACAATGACTTTTATTGTTGTGGATTTCCCCCAAAATGTTAGGTATGCTGCTTTTAGGTTTTGCCTTCTTTTCGGTTTGATTTAGCTTTTTATGTGTTGCTCTATTAGTTGAACTTGCCAGCTAGAGATCTGCATGCTTTGTTTCATTATATCATTGAATACACTAAAGTCGATGAAACCATGACTATGTGAGTTAGTTTGTTTCTTTTTGAGGACACTCTAAATATATACTTTGTTTCTTATATCATTGAAAACACTAAAGTCAATGAAAAATACAAAAAAAAAAAAATTACCGTATACTGAAGATTGATTATGCATGTATGATGTAAAACAACTCTTATCATTGTTCTTCTTAGACATGTTTATATAGATATGACTTTGTTTGCAAATATGTATTTATGTTAGTGTAGTTGGACGTTGTTTGTCATTTTTTAAACTTCATTAGTCAAATACATTAAATACTTTCCTATATTATTCATGGAGAAATTAAATAGTTACTTCAATCCCCAATAACATGAACCATAATAAAAATATACATCAATATTTACTACACATATACATGAAAGTCAAACTGTCCCGACCAAGAGGCCGGGCCCTAATCTAGTAACGTTCTACTTTCGAACCCGCGGACGCGACCTACGGTTATTCTTAAATATATGGGCTTAAGCATAGGAAGGCAGGCCCGGAAGAAGATTACAAGCCCAATAGAAAAAGACCCCAATGTCAAAAGGCCGCAGCCATACGGCGACACAAATAACCTGGGCCCATATCGAAGTTCAAGCTTGGATATACGTTCCAGCCACTGTTGCCAATCCAGCAACTTAACCGTTGGCTGAGTGCTAAAATTAGGTATGAAATATTAATGCCTATTAAATTCAGGTACTAAAACTGTAATTTATAAATGAAATCTAGGAAAACTACGTAAATGGAAGGGGGAGGAAAAAGGAAGAGGAAGGGGAAGGGAGAAGGGAAATTAGTATAATACACTTAATGGTGTTAGCACCCTATCCACTCCTGACTCCCCCTAATCATTGCATTGAGGTTTGGAACAATAGCTGGCGGTCACGGCAGGGCATGATTCATCATTAGAGGTAGATAATCACTGAAACTCGCATGATCATTCTCAAAATAGGTGGAATTGTTCATATTTGCAGACGGGAAGTTATGGTAGGAGCCTTGTTAGCTGTTGACAATTTTCATAAATGCTCGATGAGTCGGCTCATAAGTTGGCGGCATCGCGGAAAATTCGAAAGAATTTTGACCGATGCCATAAAAGCTTATTGTAGTAGGCCTTATTAGTGATGCTGCATTGCTGTTGAAGTTTCCTACCATGGCCACAACATCTAAATTCCCAGGAGTTGTGGTGCCCGCAGAATCTGTCCCATTTTTCTGGTTACCATTGGGCAAAGGAAAGTTGCACTACTATTGCGGCACATGAGGTTGAAGTTGAGTTTGACTATTTTTGGACGTATCCCTTGAACAACAAAGCTCTGCGTACTTGCCAGCTTTGTTCAACCTCTTGATTAAAGTGGAAGAATCCACAGTTCCTGACATGGTCACCACCTGGATTCTGCATTTATGTCTATGGAGTACACACCTGAGTCCGAATGAACGCCACTCTTACTAAATATTCAAGAAAGGAAATTAAGAGTGAATCTTATGTTGCTACTTATTTTTTCTTAAACACTTTCTTCACTTACCATCAATCTTCATAAGCATTTTCTTCACTTTCGTTTGGCAGCCTTTTCAAAGTCGATGTTAACCTTGAGAACATGCTTCTATTATCACAAAAAGGGGGAAAAGAAAGGAAAAAAATCACTAGCATTTACAGAGCAATAAGCCAAACCTAGAAAGAAAGGAACTGAAAAAAGCGTCAAGTTTATGGGGGAAGATAATAGGCTTGAAGTAAGGCATCTCACTCGAAGTACCTTGTCTGCTTTCTGTGGATTGACTGCTAATGTGCGAAAGAAGAGAGTGAGAAAGGAAACGAATAAGGGGAGAAGTCACAAGAGAGGAGTGGAAGAAACAAAGCCAGCAGGTGAGAAATGTGTGTGGGTAGGGGTGAGAAAGGAAACTCTTACTGCATAATAGTTGTTTTCTATATAATTAGTAAGAACAACTATTATGCGGTAAGAATAACTATTATGATGATTACATAGTAGAATAACTATTATTAGTATAGACGTTGTCTAGGGGTCGTCTTTTGTCTTTGTTGAGCAAATTTGTTAAGGTTTGTCTAGTCAAATCGAGATCTATTGGTTGACTCGAATATACTTTCAAAATTAAAGAGTGGAAGTGCTTGTGGAAGGTGGAGACTAGAACGGTTTGGTTGACTCGGTTTATCTAATCAAATAGTTAAAACTTACAGGTTCGGGCGTGTTTAACTAAGTTTGATTAGATCCATCATCACCTCCGATCACTCCCCCTGCTGCCGCTTTTCCCGCCACTACCGAACCATCAGTATTGAGACATGGCCATCCAAATGGTGGGGGGTGTCCATGCTTCCAGTTTTCTCCTATATGTACTACCACTCTCAAACAGCTTGGCCGAATTCTCAGCTCCCGCTTGGATTTTGCTGCTGAAGGGCGTGAACTCTGCAGCATAATCTATCTGTCGTGTCCATGTGTTTCTGAAATGTGAGATTATTATAATTCTTCCACAACATCCAACACATTACAACAAACCTGGCGGGGTGAATGATCGAGCTCCTTCCTGCAAGATAGAGTAACATCCACCTAATCTGGTCAACCTGGAAGAAAATATCATCAGGCTCATTCTGAATGACTTTCGCCCTAGCAGCTTGCAAGAAGGGACATTCTTGTATAACATGTAGCATTTCTCGCCTTTCCCACCACACATAGGGCACTGAGCTTCCGAAGCTAGGTGACGTCACAAACGTTCATTGTTAGTCAGCAGTCGATAATGGGCGCTAACCAAAAGAAAGATCAGACTCTCGAGGTGGTTGGGATGATCCAAATGGCACACCAAATTAGGTGGGTTCCCCCCAGTTATTTCTCCTCGCATGTGATGTCATAAGTTGTTTTAAGAGAGAAGCAACCATTGGGAGTAAGGCGCCACACCAGAACATCACCCGGTGTCTCCTGCAATACCAGGTGCAAATTGTGTCTACGTCACTATCTCATTAGGCAAGACAGACTGTATAGATGGGAGAGTTCTCTAAGACCTCTTTACTACAACGAGAATGAATGAGTGCTATTTTTGGTATTTTTCGAGATTGGATGTTATTTTTGTAAAAATTTGTTCAACAGTGTTATTTCTGAAAAAAAATATAAGTTCTAGTGGGGGCAAAAAGGGTCAGAGCGCATTAATCATTTGCTTAGTAGAGAAGAACTAACGCTACAAAACCTCAAGGGTGCATGGGCTTTCGCGACTTGCGAGGCTTCAATACCGCCATTCTCACGAAGCAGTTGCGTAGCTAGTGTAGAGTCGCGACTCGCTGATAGCCCAACTATTGAAAGATAAATATTATTAAAATACTTCGATACTGGAGGCTAATGTGGGCTACATGTGAGTTTTATCTGGCGGAGTTTGATGAGTGTCCAAGAATTCTTTTATAGCGGACTAAGATGGTGGATCGGCAATGGAGCCTTAGTGCGGGTATGGGGAGATAAGTGGCTTCCATCTACTACTCACCACTTTCTCCCAACATCCCTTGTGGGTCTCCCGGCGATGACCATGGTGAACAACAAGTTAATCGATTTCGACACCGGTGGCTTGAAAATGGAGGTGTTGGAGATGTGTTCTTGGTCAAGGTAATCCAATCGATCTATTCTCCAAATTCCTATTCGTGGGCGGGCAAAAAATGATCGCCTAATCTGAGCTAGCAGCAAGTCGGGGAACTACTCAGTTAAAGAAGACTAGGGGTTTTGGCTACAGGGCTTTATCACCGACAATAACTTACAGAAACACAAGTACACGTTTTCTTTGCCCAAAACGGCGACTTGTGAGTTGAAAGGGATTTTTTTAAAGGTAATGCCTATTTTTATCCAAACTTTTTTCAGATTCTTTTATATTATCCAAACTTATTAAAATTCTATTAATTATCCAAATCTTTCATAATGCATCAAAATATTAGCCTTTTTACGCTACCGTTAATAATTTGGCAACTCTTTTTTTAGTTAAAATACTAAAAGTTTGGAATGTCGAGTAAGTATCATGTTGTCAAGTCAGTATTATTAACAAAATTGCTAACTAGAATTTAACATTTGACTAATTTTTAGTGTTTCGATAGGTTTGGATAATATAAAAGAAGGCTTAATTGCAAGTTTGGTCACTCGAATTGCTATAAAATTTCACGTTTGCCACTCAAATTAATTTATTCCATCTATAGTCACTTGAATTAGTTGAACAGTTCAAGTTCGGTCACTCTCCGTTAACCTCCGTTAACTTTGACTGACGTGGCGGTCAACTCTGACAGTTGACCGTTAAATGTGTGACTTGGCAAATAAAAAAAATTTAAAAAATAAAAAATAAATTTTTAGAAATTACACATCATTATAAAAAAAATTATAATTATAAAAAATGAAAAAAGAAATTATCACAAAAAAAGAAATTAATTTATTCTTAATTGCGAATCATATTTTAATGGGTTAATAGTATTTTATGCCCTTGTATTATTGTGTTTTAACGAATGTGCCCTTATACTATGATTTTGCACAAACATGCCCCTGTACTATTACGACATAGCAAAAATGCCCTTCTGTCAAAAAATCTGTTATCTCTCCGTTAACTAGTACCGAAAATTACCCAAACACCCCCAATTCATCGTCTCTCTCTATTGCCATCCCTAAACGAGTTCTCTTCCAACCACGGTCCAAAAATACCTTCGAGTCTTCTTCTCAAGAGAATCTACCATCCAGCTGACAGTCGGAGCTCCCTTCCGGCGACCGTCGAGGGCTCCTCTCCTCCGCCGTACCTTTTTCTCGGGCAATATTCTCCATCCGCCAGGCCAGCTCCTCCCTCCGCCGATACAACTTCTCCCTCCGCATGACCTACCGTTCCCTCCACCTGAACAGAGACCCAACTGCTTCCTCGTCCCAAACGCTCCTCCGACGATCTGTCCTCGATTCCATAACCAACAATATTCGAGAAAACCAAAGATGTGCTTCTTAGTTCTTTCTCACCCATTTTCGCTCTCTTCTGTACATTCCGAAATTTGTGGAACCCTAAATTATGTTTGTTTTGATTGTTCGGGGTTTTGTTCTGATGTTGGGTTTCGCCTGGAAACAACCAATATTTCATTCCTCTTTTTGTCCTATTCGTATAAATTAGGGTTTAAAAATAGAATGGTTGCAGTCGTGCCTCAGAGGCTGTTAGTGTAGTTAACATCAACGGGCTGAGGTGCCGTTTTCGCCTATGCTTATGTTGCCGACAATGTCACTCGAGGAAAAGACTGTGGACGCAGGAGAAGATGCTGTCGGCCAGCAACGGAGCTAGATGAGAAGATGGCGGATGAGATGATGAACGAGTTGGTGTATGCCGGCAGAGTTGGATCACGCCGGTGGTGAAAACGGCACCGGCCTAGTTGCTGTGGTCGAAAGGCCGATGATTGCATGCAGAACGGTGAGATGAGAAAGCGAGGAGTCGCGTATTACGGGCTCCTTTTTTGCCTTTTTTTTAATTAGGATGTAATCCCTTCAAAATTAAAGTGAAATTTTAATATTAGTCACAGGGTTATTTTGGTCATTTCCTGTCTCAGTTAACGGAGAGAAAACGAATTTTTCGACAGAAGGGCATTTTTGTTACGCTGTAATAATACAAGGGCACGTTTGTGCAAAATCATAGTATAGGGACACGTTTGTTAAAACGCAATAGTACAAGGGCATAAAATGCTATTAACCCTATTTTAATTATCATCTCAGATGGTGGTTCTACAGGCGGAGCTGGAGCGGGTGAAAGTGGAGAATCTCCGGCTGAGAGACATGCTGAATCAAGTCAACAACAACTACAGCGCGCTGCAGATGCACGTAATGTCGTTGATGCACGATCAGAAGCCATCGCCAACCAATGTAAAAGGGTAACCAACCAAACATCAACCCACATTCTCTGAGTGGAATCGAAGTTGCGAAACCAATTACCTGAGCAGATTTGTTGAGTTGGAGAAGGTTGCGGAATCTGGGCATATGAACAGAGATGGAATTGCTATTAAGGGGCTGGCTAAGCTGCAGAGCTTCTCCTAGTATCTTGATGTATTTCCCAATCTCCTTCTGTGGGACATTGGCAGCAATGGAGATTTCCTGCTCAACACCAATGAAGCTGATTAAATTTCACCACAAAATGCAGGCTATCAAGAACGAGAAGAAAAAGAAAGGAATAACGTTACCTGGAGAGTTCTGGGCTCCTGAGCCTCGCGAATGGCCTAAACAAGGGCGGCGGTGGCAAGGGCTTCGACGTTGCGGTTTCTCAAACAAGTAGCAGAGCAACAATCCCTAAAAAGCTGGAACGCGTGATCGGAGATATCATAATCCAACCCTAGAATCAAAGCTACGTCGATAATCTGCATATACGCTCTCGAATTGTCAACCACGACAGTCGACGAGTTAGAATTCGAATTCGACGATGCAGGCGGAAGCGGCGGCGGCGGCGCGGCGGAGGAGGAGCCGGTGGTCAATTCGAGGATCCGCTCGAGCTCGGCGAGGTGGCCGGAGAAGGAGAGAGAAGAGAGGAGGGAGATCGGGGTGGGCTCCAGAGACCAGGTGGAGAAGGCGGTGATGAATCCCGTCGGCGAGGGGTGTGATAATTTCTTTTTTCCATTTTTTATAATTATAATTTTTTTTATAATGACGTGTAATTTCTTAAAAATTAATTTTTATTTGCCACGTCACACATTTAACGGTCAACTGTTAGAGTTGACCGCCACGTCAGTCAAAGTTAACGGAGGTTAACGGAGAGTGACCAAACTTGAACTGTTCAACTAATTCGAGTGACTATAAATGGAATAAATTAATTTGAGTGGCAAACGTGAAATTTTATAGCAATTTGAGTGACCAAACTTGCAATTAAGCCTATAAAAGAATTTGAAAAAGGTTTGGATAAAAAAATAGACAATACATTTTTAATTTGACAAAATGTCCGGTTTGGCCAAAAAAAAACGGAACCGTTTTACACCCCTGCTATCTGTTATCCCAATTCTTATTAGACTCAGATAACCCTCGCAAGTCGGCGGACAGAGAGACTCTCGGCACGCTAAGAATTTGAGAACCCAAGTAGGCAGAGAGGAGAAGGAGAAGGAGAAGGAGTGAAAACAATAATCAAGGCAATGAATTCAACACTCATGCTGCGCCGCTTTTGCTGCTGTAATGCAACAGTAACATCATCAGCAGCAGTTTCCTCCCAGAAGAAGCCGCTTGTCTTCTTGGGCTCCCCAGAGGTACTCGGGACTCCAAAATTTCACATTCTCTCGCAGCTGAAAAAGACTGTCTTGGCAACTCATTCATGCTCGTAAATGTGCTCACAACTTTCCGATTTCGTTTCCACGTTCCGGGCGAATCGAGTTTAGGTGTCGGCAACTGTTCTTGATTCCCTTTTCAATGCATCCTCCAAGCCCGATTCCACGTTTGAGGTAGTACAGTCAACTCACCTCATTCCCCAAGGCTCCATATTTTGCTTGATTAACGCAGCAATCAACTGTGTTCCCGTTGTGAACAGGTAGCAGCAATTGTGACTCAACCGCCTGCAAGAAGAGGAAGGGGCAAGAAGCTGATGCCTTCCCCAGTTGCTCAGCATGCCCTTGACAGAGGATTCCCCTCTGACCTCATTTTCACTCCGGAAAGGGCTGGTGAGGTGATTCCTGTCTTCCCCCCACTAGCATTTTTCACTTAAGGCTTATGAAAATCCGATTTGCAAAGCAGGCATTGATCTCTCACCTCTACTCAACGCAGGAAGCATTCTTGTATAGTCTAAAAGCATTGCAGCCAGACCTTTGTGTCACAGCAGCTTATGGCAATATACTGCCCACCAAGTTTCTCAACATTCCACCAATGGGTTAGTCTTATGTACTTTGTTTTTATCCTAACAAGATGATGGATCCCCTATATCTTCGGTTTCGGCCATACCCTTATCTTTTGTCCTGGGTTTGAATCTTCGTTTTCTACGGACAAATAACTCACCATCACTGTGGCATGTACTAAGGTCTTGTTTGGATTTTACTTTCCAGTTGCCTCTCGAGACTCATTTAACTACTTGCAAAGGTTGATGGCATCACAACTCAAAATTTATTTCTAGATTTCCTCAATTCCCATTGCAATTTTCTCAGGGACAGTCAACATACACCCAAGTCTATTGCCACTTTACCGTGGTGCTGCTCCAGTTCAAAGAGCATTACAGGTTTCCTACATTCAATGATTGGATTGTTCCATTTCACGCAATTGTGGATTCACGAGTTTTTCCATTAGGATGGTGTCAAAGAAACTGGAGTATCTTTAGCGTTCACTATTCGTGCATTGGATGCTGGACCTATCATTGCACGCAAAACACTAGAAGTGGATGATCACATTAAGGTATGGTTCAGTGCTCTCTTGTTTGTTATTTGTTACTAATGATGGTCGTGACTTCTTTATTTATTTATATCCTGCTTCATTAAGGCAGAAAAAGATGGACTCTCACTTAAGGTTAGTAACTCAAACACTAGAACTTACATGATAAGAGTTCAAGGAAATAAATATCCATCCAGAGTATCATGTTGATAAGGTTTGAAAATTATCAAACCTAAATGTAATCACACGCTTACCTTCTTGATGAATGGCAAAAAAATTACTCCTAGAGGCCGGGAAGAAGGCATTGGAATTTACTGATTGTTGAACTCCCATTACATGGACAGAGGTGTCTTAAATTCTGATAGTAAACTTTTTTCTTTTTGTTCCCCTCTTTGTTACGTGATATTTCCTGTCTGCTTTCTAGTTTTCAAAGTAGCATGTGCTTCAGTCAATACCTAAGGATAGAATACCTAGTTTCTAATAGATTTTAATTTCCCTGAAAAACAAAAAACTTAGCAATTTTTTTGTTTATGTGGCTGCAGGCTCCTGAACTACTGGATTTGCTATTTTCTGAAGGCACAAAGCTTCTGATTCATGAGCTTCCCTCATTGTTTGACGGGGCAGCCAAAGAAAAGGCGGAACCACAAGATGATTCAAAGGCCACCTTAGCTCCTAAGGTATTCTCTTGCATGCAGAACCCTGTTGTCATTTCTCCTGTTGATTTAGATTGGAACCTCAAGGTTCTTACAATCTTGTGGACTCAAGAATCTAACAAACCTTCCCCTCATCAGGTCCACTACAATAAATTTACTCATGAGTTTTTGCATTTTGTTGAAACGGATATTGGAATAGGAATTGTCACTTACACTTAGCATCTGTTTGTTGTATCTTGTACCATGGTTGAACCTTTTTTTCATTATTATGAAGAAGTTTCCCATGTTCTAGACTCCCGTACTTCACATTCTTCGACCAGAAAAGTGGAGTCATTGTGGGGTCTATTTAATGCTCCTTGTCAGGTGAAAAACGTCTGGATGAAGAGCCTTTTGTATCTGTAGGAAAACCTTGCATGGCATTAGAGAACCTTGTCAGTATAACTAACTTGTGCTACGAGGTTAAAATAGTATGGTGCCTATCATGATAATGAGAAGGATGGTTCAACTAATGTAGTTATCCTGTCAACCCCGTTGTCGTAGTTTTTGTGTATAGAGTTCATATAGTGACCCCGTTAGATGGTAGCTGCCCACTTTGTCCTTGGAACTTGACTCGCCAAACAAAATCAATTAGCTGACTCGTGTAAGGTCAGCCTGTGCACAAGGAAGTTAGTTCTTGACTACTGTGGAAACTGGCTATGCTTGGAATTTGTGGCTGACAAGTCATTTCTAATGGGTACACTTGTGCAACAGTGATCTGTTTCTTCTGCTCTCTTGACAAATCCAGGGATCTACCAGTTACTGGTATTGGGATGTTGATCAAGTTACTTGGACATTCTTTTTGATTCAGATTACACCTGAGGAGTCTTGGCTTTGCTTTGATGAAGAAGCCTCAGTCCTGCACAACAAGGTAAGCCGCCCACTTTGTCCTTGATGCTTGACTGTTTGCAGTGATTAAGTGCAATTCTGCTAGGTTCGTGCATTTGCAGGGTGGCCTGGTACTCGAGCGAAAGTAATAGTTATCGGCACCAAAAATGACCAAGACATACTAGACCTTAAGGTCATCACCACAAGAGTTTCTTGCCACCGAAATCATGTAACTGAAGAAGATGAGATTACTTTTGCAAATGGTGCGTTGTTGTTTCCATGTGCAAGATCCATTGGGTTGGAGGTTTGTACAGACTTCATGAACTCATTCCTTACTCTCTTGGTCGACATTTGTAATGTTGGTGCCGCTTGGATTATAATAACGTTGCTTCGCTCAGAAAAAAAAAACAGAGTAAAATATTTATTTCCTATGAAAAATGAAAATTTAGAAGCCAGCTTAAATTGGGTTAATTTTCCGTGCCCAAGTTTACGTAGGTGTATCTTGAACTATGTTGATGGTCATACGTTTTAGTTTGCTTGAAGAATACTGAAATGATGGCATTACAGAACCCATATGGAGTTGCTGAGTCTTGCTATGGTTAAAAATCACAGGTATTGGAGGTCCAGCCGCCTGGCAAAAAGGTCATGCCTGCTGCAGCATTCTGGAATGGTTTGCGAGGTCAAAAGCTGAAGATAGTAAAGATGGAACGAGTTCTCCCTGCGGCAATGTCAACATTGTAAAGCTTTTCTTATAAAAGATTCAGGTATAGCAAGCTTGTTAGGGCCGTCATATCTCCCCTGGGTCATTTCCAGGATACTCTAAAACCATAAGCTTCGGTTTCTATGACACATTGATGTTGTAAACTTTGTTTTGGGTCAATTGACGAGAAATCAATGTATGGATTCAAGTCATTATTGGGTTTGGTTGGAGTCCGGTTATGGAGTTAAAACCTAACATTTTTGGCAGCTGCAAAATTCTGTGTAAGCCAATTGACGAAAAAATGTACCGACACGTATGAGTATTCTTGGAAAATAAGGAAAATAAAAACTAGCTTTGAGCCAGGCCAGTTGGTCGGAAGACAAAATCTTTTCATTAAGATAATTTGATTTATACTCAACAAAAGTGTTTTGGACATGCATGAAACTGTTATGTATTTTGATAGTAGAAACGGAATGATATTGCTATAATTTAGTAATATGTAAAATATCAACCTGCTCCATGAGTTATAGTGGTACATGAATGAGTCATGTATGATGGTACAGAACTTAGTGATATTGATAATACTTAGTAATTATGTCAACTAAGAACATGATCCATAAATACGTGATCGTAACTCTTGGTCATATCATTGATTTTTGTTTAAACATGTATCAAAATTGATATCGCTATGTAACTCAAATTAGATATGATTTCTCTGCACAATATCTAAATTTAGTTTGAAACGAAAGAAATGCAACCAGGGATGACAATGGGTCGGGTTTTGCCAAACCCAAATCCAAACCCATGGGTTTATCCGTGAAAAAAACCCGGGGGTAAAATTCACTTGGTTTGAAAAACTCAAACCCAACCCAACCCGTTGGGTATCCGCGGTTCATGGGTACCCACGGGTTTTTGTCGTAAAAAATTTACAATAACAAGTTCCTATCAAAATTAAAGTCAAATATCAATCTCTCAATACAACTTATCCATATATAAAACATCATTCTAGAATATTCAAGCAAATCACAAATTAAATATACAAATTGTTCAACACCAATCTAGAAAACTCAAGAAAATTGAAGCAAATCACAAATTATCCATAAATAACATGATTAATTGAAAGCTTTTTTCCTTTCAATTAAGTTTATTCACTCTCCATTCGATAACATCAACTTCATTCTACACAATTAGAAAGAAAAAATTAGACATGTCTCCACAAACATAAATAAGATTAGTTGTTTAGAATATTAAATATACCGAGAAAATTAATTATATGGGTATAGGCGGGTACCCATGAGGCGGGTTTACCTAAACCCAAACCCAACCCAACCTAGTGAATAGTGAACGGGTTTAAACCCAAACCCGACCCAAAACCCGTCAACATGGATTTTACCCACATTGACCGGGTTGGGTCGGGTGGGTACCCGTGGGTTCGGGTTTTGTTGCCATCCCTAAATGCAGGTCAATGGAAAATAATAGAAAAACTGAAAGAAAGTTCTAAGAGCATCCACATTGGTATTGCAATATCAATTGCAAGATGACATGACATGAGTGTTTGCAATTGCAAAACCAATTGCATTGATGTGGCTACCAAGTGCATATTTGCAAGCTTGCAACAAATGAAATTGTATAAGCAAGTCAACAACGTCTACAAAAATGGAGATTCTTTATTTTATATTATATATTTTTTCTTTTACTTTATTTTTTATAATTTAAACATAATATTTAATTACATATGCAATTGTAAGTTAATTACATTGATGTAATTGAATGAAAATGATTTGAGGTGTATTGCCAAAACATTGAGTTGGAAGTAAAGAGTTTAAATGCAATTACTTTTGCAATTGCATTATGTGGATGCTCTAACACACTCCAATTCGATAACCAAATAAAAAAATCAAAAATCAAAATCAAAATACACTTTCACTAGATTTAGAAAGGAAAATGATAAAAAAGCTCACTTGTCATATTTAACCTTTGACTGATTTTGCTTAGATATCAAATCATTACTTAATTTTCTACCCAAAAAAAAAATAATTACTTAATTGTGGATTGTCAACTGCATTAAATGATTTTTAGTCTTCACATTTGATTCGACTTTTATGACTCTCCTTACATAGCGGTATTATTAGCAAAATAGGAAAATTATAAGCTATAAATCAAGCAAGAAACCATTTAGATTGAAAAACCACTGTCTACTAATATCTTATGGAATAATTAATAAGTCACGGCAATATATATATATCATGTACTCGTCACACGCTAAAGAAATCTAATTCTTGAAACATTTTAGGCACATGGAACATATCTAATTAATCATACCACAAAATACGACTGCTTCAACAAAATAAGCTCGAGTAGTTCTTTTGAAAACATTGAGACCGACTCCCAGTATCTCACTTGCAAAGTGCAGATAGAGGAGACCGACTCTCATACCAAAATGTAACACTCTAACTTGGCCAGGTACTACTTTTACTAAAATATCCTCATTAAACCGTTAACCATAAAATAGTCGCAAAGACTTAGAAAACAACGGAAACTTTTCTTCTTAAATATCCTTGATATCATTAAGTTCAAATCACAATTTCTTGGAACATACAAAGATAGTAATCATAAATACTTTTATTAAATTCGCATCAAGTCTTGAATCCCACAAATTCACGAGAACTAAATTTCCCATACTGAATATCCTCTGGAGCCTTGCACCTTGTCGTGATCTAGTCAACTCCCTAAAGTGAGCTGCTGATAATCCTACAATTACTAGTGCGAGTGTAGGGTCAGTCCTAAGTCCTAGGTTTATTTTACTTGAGAAAGAAGAAACTAAACATACATAAAATGCATGTGCTTATGTAATGCTCGTGTATTAGAAATGCTTAATTTACTTTGAAAGAGTTCTCTTAAAAGGGCCACCGATCTCAACTTAACTAGCACACCACCACGATCACCAACTTACTTATAACATGAACATAGTTCATAATAGGGGGTTTCCTCTAGGGGTGTTCAAACGGATTGGTTACCGTGGTAACCATATTAACTGGTAGTATTCGGTTAATTTGGTTTGGTTAATTTGGATAATTGGTTTGGTTTGGTTAAACAATTTAGCTTATTTGGTTTAGGTGGTTTGGTTTCAACACTGCTAACCAATGAAACCAATTAACCAATTAATGATACACCTAATATACAAAATTATTTATACTTATATGCAACCAATCAAACCAAACTTTCGTGATTCACTAATTTATTTCCATGTGCACAACAAGCCAAAACATTATAGGTAAAAAAATTAAGGGTTAATACCTTATTTTGGCCCGAACTATGACCATATAATCAACTTAGGCCCGTGGTTTCAGAAATTAACATCCTGGCCTCAACTATGCAGCATATAGACTCAATTGGCCTGACACATGGTTTGACCGTCAATTTGGATGGTCAACAACGTTGACCGTTAGTCAACACGCCATGTCATCCCCTCGTCAGCCTAAAAATTATTAAAAAATTCAATTTCAAATTATTTTCCTAATTTATATTATTTATCATTTTCAAATTAACCAAAAATAAAATTTTAAAAATATAAAATAAAATTTATATTTTATTTTTGGGATATTTGAAAATGTTAAATTTTATAAGCTAACCAAAAATTATCAAACTAAATTTTATAAATTTATAAAATATTATATAAATTATATATTTCATTTTTGGGTAATGTTAAATATATAAAATAATTTGATAATTTTTTTGTTAATGTTAAATATATAAAATAATTTGATAATTTTTGGTTAATTTATAAAATTAATAATTTTCAAATTACACAAAAAATAAAAAATACAATTATTTTATGTTTTTATAAATTATTTTTTTTAATTTGACAATGATAAATAATGGAAATTAGGAAATTAATTTGAATTTGATTTTTTTAATAATTTTTAGGCTGACAAGGCAAATGATATGGCGTGTTGACTAACGGTCAACGGTGTTGAACATCCAAATTGAGGGTCAAACCATGTGTCAGGCCAATTGAGTCTATATGCTGCATAGTTGAGGCCAGGATGTTAATTTCTGAAACCACGGGCCAAAGTTGATTATATGGTCATAGTTCTGGCCAAAATAAGGTATTAAACCAAAAATTAAATGGGTCTTCCTATTTACTAAACCGAAACATTTTGACAACTACTAGACTTTAGGATTACGTACAATACCATGACAGTCACCTCAAACTATGTATAGTTTAAGTGTTTTGTAGGAGAGCAATACCTTCCTGATGAAGGGGTATTGGTATATATATTTATGTTAAGGGGTTTGTAAGATAACTATATTATGTGCAGAGATGGTGAATGATGTATTAACTCGAACGATGATGATAATCATGGATGATTATTTTTATTATTGCTTATATATAATGATAGTTTATGATAGTAACAACATATGGTTATGTTTTATTCATTTACAGGATAATTGCTTTCATGTAATGCTATGTTATTTGGTTAATCCGATTAACCAAATCAATTTAATTTTGGTTTGGTTAATTTGGTTTTCGTATTAATTTGGACGGTTTGGTCAAGACATTTTATTCCATGGTTAATGAAATTTAGACTTAATTGGTTTGGTTATTACCACGGTAACCATTTGAACACCCCTAGTTTCCTCACATGGGAAAAACAATACCGCACGCTCTACATGTCTATGGGGTACCTCATAATAAGACCACCTTATAATACAGGGGTGAGGTTCTTAACCTCCTTAATACCCAGGAGTGGGGTTCGTACATACATATATATATAAGACTCCCTCACTGTGGGGAGTAATGTGATCGTGGGTTACTAGCTTAGAGAGGGTTAAAACGTGATCCTACTTGCTTATAATCCACATAGCATACTTGCTTAAATTCATCTTCCACACAATGGGAAAATATAAGCTCGTATACTCAAAACGTAACGTATTTCCCTCTCTCTTAAAACATAAATCAGTGATGCATGCAATGTAATGCTTATTGAAACATAAGAAATGAACATACACATACTTAACGTAAAAGCATATAGGAGCA